ATAATGAATAGTAGAATTAACCAGTTATTATAGTTAAAATAACAATAATGAATAGTAGAATTAACCAGTTATTATAATTAAAATAACTATATTTTTGTGGTTAAAAAGTATCTGTAAAAAAATATGAAAAAATGCAAAAATTAATTTGCGTCGACTTGGGAATTGAACTTGGAACAGGTGTTTCTAGAGCCTACCATTGACCTACGCCCTAACCTACCTAACTACCTAACAGATTACCGTAATGAGGCGAAAGTAATTATTTAAGTGAATTAATTTTTTTTTTAAATCTAAATATTTTTATTTTATTATTCAATTTTTAATTTGTTTTTGTGTTTAAGATTAAACAAATAATTAAAAATATAAATAGTATAAATTAAGTAATTAATTAAGTATCAAATGTATTAATAATAAAATATTCTATTATAAGTAATAGATATCTGGTAGATAGCATTTTACCAATATTAATATAATATAATATAGGTTAATGTATTTTATTTTCATAAAGGAATATACAGTATTCCCCATACCATGATAATAATATAAGGAATAAGCATTAGCTAACAGGTATTAAAATAATCAGAAAAAATTATAGGTATTAATTTTAATTGATAATAATGATTAAAAATAATAAATGGTTTTTAATTTCATGAATAATAAATATTAAAAATAGGTAGGTATTACATTAAATTATTATAAACACTAAATTACATTTACATTTTTGCAAATTAAAAAGTTATACGATACAATACATCGAATAATAATTAGGTAAGTATTTTATGATATACAATTAATCATTAAATTATTACAAACAAAATTATTAAGAAGTCACTAGCTAGCATGTGTACATATATAAATAATTAGTATAATATGAATAGTACATAAGTACCTATATTTATGAACTTAAAAATAACATAAAATATATAAAAAAAAATGTTAACATATACAAAATATATCAAAATAAAATTTATTTTTGATTAATATATGTTTTTCCATTTGGCATGTAATGAAAGGTACTTGGGATCTGTTCTATTAAGTTATTTATATTTAAACACACCATTATGTGGTGATCCATTTTTACCTCAAAGGCTTGGACATGTTCATCATATGTAATAGTAGTAAATTTATTGCAAATTAAAGAGGGATAATTATTATTAGGTAAAAAGTATATAAATTTAATGAGCACAAACAAAGGCATATCAGATATGTCAATAATAAGAGTCATATTTTTCAAAGAATATCTTATGTTTTTCACTTCAACCCATGATACAAATTTTGCAGAAGTTAAATCAATATTTGGGCTGTCAATTAAGTTTCTTTTCATATCATTTATTATTTCATTTGAAATATTTATAACATTACCATATTGAATTTCAGATGACAAAATGTTTTGTGAAATTATTCTATAGGCAAGTTTAAGTTGGTGTTTTAGTGTTAGAGTATAACAAATATTTTTTCTGCTAGTAATTGATACTGCAGTCATCTTTGATTCTCGATGTTTGGACTCGAATCTCATTGACCATATGTGACATAATGGTCCAATTTTTTTCATTATATCTGGATAATGCACTAAATGATGGTGTTTTGGTTTTAAATTAGTTTTAAATAATTTGAGGTATAACTCATGATGTTCTGTAATCAGTGTGCTTAATAAAATTGGACATTCTTTTGAAATGTATTTTGCAGTAATAATATCAATAATTTTTTTTAAAATTAAGTAAATTGACCAGATTTCTGAATTTGTGGGTATTAAATCACCAATCATTAATCCCAAGTGCCTAGTAAAACAAAGCATTTCAGTTGCAGACATTTTAATTTTACTTGTTTTTAAAAAGTCAACTGATAATAATGGTGGTCGATTTTGATTCTCAACAGGACCATAGTTAAAACACTGAATTCTGTTATTTAATGTATCTAACGAAAAGTATTTAAACTTTATAATAAAATCATTAAGTAAAGGAGCCAAGTCATAATTGCATACACCTTCCAGAACATCATGCATAATATCAATAGAATAATTTTGAGTTACATGAAAAGAAGGTATTTGGTTCCAAACACAGATTTCTTTGATACCAGTTAATGAAATGTTATTCATTTCCAGATCTGATTTATAATTGTCTTGGTTTCTTAATTTATTATTATTTTGCACAGTTTCAAAATTACATTCAATTTTAGAACATTTGCAAAATCTGCATGGGTAATTTGCCATAAATGATTCCGTAAACCCTAAAATTGAATGTAAACCTAAATTGTCACCAATAATTAAAGCCAAACTAAAATAAACAAGTTGATTTTTATTATCTATCATTAAATTTATGCCTTCATTTTCTAAAGAAGTAATATCTAAAATTAATTGTTTAAATGTCATATTATTTCCAAATTGTTTTCGATCTAATGAATTAAATAATAATGTCAGAAAAATATTATTTAATGATGAACTAAATTCTGGTGGAAAACATGGGTTGAAAGATATATATACAGCTCCTAACTTTTTTAGACCTGCATGTGACCCCAAAGGGTTATTAGTTTCATAGTCATCAAAATACAAAAAATATGGTAAAATTATTTTATTGGGTTGATTTATAATTTTTTTTTGCCAAACTTCACTTTGAACAAAACTACTGATTATATATTTTTTATTAGAGTAAAGTTCATCTAAGTAATTTTTAACTATTTTAAAAACATTTTTTTGTTCAAAAAATAATTTAAATAATTTATTTAAAGGTATATAATAAGTATTAACATTTACAGCTTTTAATGCTTTGTTATTATGTTTTACCTCATCTATAAATATAGTTCCAATTGGAATTTCTTTAGGTCTAATTAAAACACCCATATCTTCTAATATATTTAATCTCATATATTCAGATTTTAAATTATTAAATTGATTATTTATAGCATCAAACATTGATGATATATTCGATATAGAATCACTATCACAGTTACATTTTTTAAGGTTTACAAGAACTTCATTTTTTAAAATATTCATATAACTCTCATTCATTAAATTTATATCATTAATTAAAGATTGAACTTTATTTCTTGGTATTACTGACTCATTATACCATTTTGATACAAATTTGATTGTTTCAAAAGACACTTTTTTTTTAAATTGATCTAAAAAATTTTCAGTGTCTTGATCCAAATCTTTTTTATTGATATTTGAGTAAATATTACATTCATCAAATTCAGTGGAAATTTTAACATTATGTTCTTCAACTTTAGAACTTACAGAAATATCAAAGTGACTTTTCATATGCTTCCCATATGAGTTCAAAGAACCAAATATTCTATTACATAATGGTTCAACACATTTGTATTCTGTTACATTATCAAACGAATGAAATAACTTAAAATGTTTGGTAAAATCTAAAAATGTATAGAGTTGAACTGCACAAATAAAACATTTCATTTTGTTAATACTTATTATAAATATATTAGGTACTTGAATGATTTATGTACTATTATAATAAATAATAATAATGATTTTAAGCATTAAAAAAAAAAAAATAATCAACAAAGAAATAGATTAGAATATTTATAAATAAAATTATACAAATAATATTATGAACTAAATATTTATAAAGGTATTTATGTCTTATTGTTTATTTAAAATAGTAATAAGATTAGATATAAATTGATAATTTTTATCAAATTTAGTATTAATTTTAAAGAAAAATTGTTGAATGAATTGCCAAATTTGTTCACTTTCAGTAGGGTAGTTGAGATGAAGCATAAAAAACGACTTAAAACAAATGTCTACTGCTTTTAGAGCACTCTCTAATTTAAAAAAATTTTGATTGATAACAACATAAAATGATGAAACTTCCAACCTGTCTTGTGTTCCAAGTTCTGGGCCAACAAACACCATGTAAGGTTGTACTGTAAGTTTCAATAATTTATTTTTTGCCCACTTTGCATCATCGATTTCGCGTAATTGTGAAATATCCTAAAAAATAATAATAATAATAATAATAGATTTAGATTAATTTATAATAAATTATTTCAATTTAATTCATAAAAATACACATTTAATATGTCCATTAATAATTTCAACTTTGTTTTTCTTACATTTATATAATGGATGAATCCTTGTTTAATTTCTAATTTTGAGGGACGCCAGTTTTTTTTTGTAATATTGTTGATTGTCCGTTTACAACACACATTTACAGGGTTAAAAAGTTCAACAAACAGTTTTAAAGTTGCAATTGTATCATTACCTTAAATAAATTAAATAAAAAATAATTTAAATTATAAAGATTTATATTAATATTATTATTATTTGAATTTGAATTAAGTATTAGTATGTATGATTCTTTTTTAATTCAAAATATTAATCTTTCATTTGATAATTCTTAGATTGAAATATTAAATTGAATTATAATTCATCATCTATATGTATTTTGTATTTATATAATATTACATAAATACAAATACATACATACATATTATACTTTGATTATGTTGTAAATACTAGTTACCTAAGCAATGTAAAATATTTATAAGGCTAAAAACTTGCCTGGTATAGAAGGATTTTTGATTTCATTCATTAATGTATGATACATTTTTAATTTTGGTTCATACATTTCAATATAATTATATAATTGAATCTTGAATAACTCAAATGACGAATAAAATAAAAATTCTTTGTTTGGAAATAATTTATTGAAATCTAATTCGATCTAAATAAGTAAATAATTGCATAGCATTTAAAGAAATAATACATTTAAGAAATATCTACTAGGTATATATTTTATTATAACAAAATTGTCGATACTAACTAACATAAAACCTTGAGCTTCTTTAATTGGCGGAAATTCATCAAAATATGTTTTTTTTTCATCATTGACATTTTTAATTAAATTATTATATCTGTAGGAAAATGTGCATTTCCATTTAGTTATAACAGTATCCCAAGGGTTAATATTATTTTTTAGCCATAATAGGTCATCTTCAATGTCTTAAAATAAATAAAACAATTTTGAAATTTAGATATTTTATATAAAAAATATGAATTATTAGTATTTAAATTAATCTTAATAGTTTCTAAAATTTACTTTCATTTTCAACAGTAGATGATATCTGTGGTATATTTGATATTAAATTGGTTTCAGTACTAGTAACAGTAGTAACTGATGTTATTTTCCTAATAACCTTCCTCATATTACAATATTTGTCCCATAATTTACCACGGTTTGGTGTCACCTTGTTGCCTTCTTTTTTGTAAGGTATATAATAAGATTCTTTCGACTCTGAAGGGAATAATTGTGTTATACTTTCAGATAATTGTGCTAATGTGAATGTAGAAATTTTTTTAGTTAACGATTCCTTTAAACAATGACTAATTATTAAATATGTCATTTTATTTTTTAAAGTTGAACTTAGAATTTGATGTTGCTCAAAATATTTTAATATGGTATTTCCTTCTTCATACTTTATCAGAATTTTATAAACATCATTTTGCTCCTGTTGTAGTTATATGAAATTTAATAAATTATTTTTTTAAAAGGTCGATTGGTTAATAAAGAATATCAATATATAATTATTATTAAAATAAAAAGAATAATTTACTTTTGATTTTATTATTTTATCTGTCAACTGGTTCATTGGTATATTATTATCATTGTTATAAATTATTATATTCTCATCAACATCATCAACAATCTCAAATGTTTGTATTTCGTTTATATTTATATTATTATTATTAGATCCTGAAGTGATATTTTTCATGTCAGTACCCTTAAAATAAATGTCATTTAACTCATAAAATATAATTCAAGTAATTTAAATAAATAATTTTTACCACTTCAGGAATTTGCTGTTTTGTTTGTTTTTCTAATAAAATATTATTATAAATTTTTGCTCTTAAGCCAATTTTCGGAATTAATTCTTTTAACATTTCTTGGGTTAAATTTAAAAGAGATTCTTTATCAATTTCTTCTTCTAATTAAAAAAAAAAAAATTAATACTGAATTTTAATATGATTAATGCAATTTTTTTATTTAATTTTAGGAAGTCTTAAAATTTATAAATTATAAATCTTTGTTTAAAATTGTATTTATATATTTACCTTTAAATCTATCAATTATATTAACAGGCAAATCCCATTCTTTTAATTTTTTGTTAGTCCAATCGTCCATTTTAATAGATTACAAATTTAGTATGTACCTTTATGCAAAAAACAAAATTTAGCAATGTTAAAATAAAGTACTATTTTTTGTTTTTTTTTGAAAAATATTTCATACTAGAAGTTTCAGTCTACTAACCAATGAACATTTTTCAATAACAAATAAAACAAAATGATAATATATAACATAGGTATAAACATAAATATTATTAACATATAAATATATTTACTTACAAAAATTGATATTTAGAATATAATTTACCTATAGATTTTTATAGATTTTTAAGTATTTTTTTGTATAGTTAAAAATATATTTAATAATGTCTACTTACCTATTAATGTTTATAAACGTAGAAATTGTTAACTGAGCCACTCCTTTTAATCTTGCTCGTGTTGAAAATTTTTATCTACTTTTACACAATATAAAAATACAAATCATACAGATACATTAACACATCTGATCGCAAAAGCAGATGCAGACGCAAACACAGGTCACAAACGAATGACGATGACAATATTGTAAACTTATAATAATGCTTATAAGTTGTAATAATGATGTAGCAAGTCCTGGAATTTCTTTAAACACGTCATGTATATGTTTATACAAAATCAAAAATCACGATTATTGGGAAGATTGTAAAATCATGCGAAATTCGATTTAATAGCGAGTACTCTAGATTATTTGAAATTACATATCCGTACGTGTAAACGATTAACCCTTTTTTACGAATATCGTTTAATTGGAACTATATAAGTAGGTATTAGATATAAACACGCAAATTCACTATAATATGCCATTTAGATACTATAATATATAATTGCGAGTTACACATCGTAGAGTATGCAAGATATCTTTGATTGTAAAATCATGGAATTCGATTTAATAGCAAATACTCTAGATTATTTGAAATTACATATCCGTACGTGTAAACGATTAACCCTTTTTTACGAATATCGTTTAATTGGAACTATATAAGTAGGTATTAGATATAAACGCGCAAATTCACTATAATATGCCATTTAGATACTATAATATATAATAATAACACACGGAGTATGCAAGCTATCTTTCCTTGAACTAGCTATCACATGTGTAATGTGACAAAAGTTATTCGAAATGTTCAAATGTTTTGAATTGTATTTAAACCAAATTTTAATCATTTGACATTTCATAAGTCATATTACTATTGGTACAAAATTCTAATTTTTGAATTAGGCGGGAAAGTTGCGCCATGGTTATGGTTGCTATAACTGTTTAATATTTGTACACCAACCATTTCATATGGTTATATTTGAATTACTAGTTTATATAGTTGCAATAACTATAAAGCAAGTTGGTTTGACTATAATTGTTCAACTAATTCATTTTAGTATTTTTAACTAAACATATTGTTTGACACAACTAAATTATTTATTACACCAACTAGAAACTATCTAACTATTTACTATAACCAAATTTTTTTTTTCCGTGTACATTGTGACATTCCTTTGAATGGACATCTTCGCACCAGCATGAACAACCTTCGACAAAGCACATCATCTCTACAATAGTGGTAATGTGCAATACATGGTTATTTATTGTTATCTGTAGATAACCATAGTACAATACAAAATATGCAATAATATAATGATAGTGAAAGTGCAAAATTACCGGTCAGTATGTTTATATCTATATCAGTATACTTAATACTTACTACTTACAACTATCATTACGTTACATTGCAATAGTATTAAATTAGTAGACATAAATCATTATTAGGTGTATTAGTAATTAGTATTACTATAATATTTTCGTAAGGTTAAGAAGATAAAAATGTGCCATTAAGTTAATAATAATTAATTTATAAATGTAAAATATCTCAGACAGACCACCTCAATACGTGTCAAATCATATGGTTATATAGGTATTACAGTATAATACAATATAATATCTGTATAGATGGAGAATATAATATATATATTATAACTTATAAAGTACTCAACAGATAATGTGTATCTATGTGTAAAAACTTATATTTTAGTAGCATGTTTATATTATTTTTTAGCAAATGCGATTTACCTAAGATATTTAATTATAACAAAGAAAAAAATACTTGAAAAATTTATAGAAACATACAGTATAGGTAGTATGGCAATTAAAAAAATTCCTATTTTAATTCAAATTGAATATTTTATAAATTTTCGTGTTTTTGGCGAACTCTGTCAAAATTTAAATTTTAAATGCTTATAAAAATAGATTTGTTGCTAATATATTTTAAAATTAAAATATATTTATATGACTATAAGAATAAAGTATGAAGGATCTTATATTAAATTTCAAGCATTTTGATCGTACGAAAAATTATTTATTGACATTATTTATAGAAATAGAACTAAAAAAAGTTGGATTCTCGAGTATCTATGAATAACTCAAATAGAGTTCAAACAAAAAAAAAAAATCATATTATCGTGTACAAAAATGATCGTGTAAAAGTTTAGTAAAATGTTCAAGTATCTACGTTTATTATGTTTTGAATCAAAACAATGCTAAATCGATTTTTTCAAAATCAGATTTTGGATAAATATTTCTGGTTATCCTAATTGTTTGTTTATTTTTCTCGGTAAATTTAAAAATACGGGAAATTTTAAAATTTAACCTCTCTAGACTAAAGTTATCTATCAGATATCATCCTTTAAGTTAAAAATCGACTACTTATACATTAGAAAAATCTTTTAGAATATAAAAACTTTTACTATCGGAGTATGCTGGCGGCACCTACTTTTTAGTTTTAAAATGGATCATGAAAAATGTAGACGATAATGTCACAGAATAATATAATAATAGGTATTATGATTATTGTTCATGTTCACGCATGAATACGATATTACGAATTACGATAATACCCTTTGTAAAAATTAAAAATGGTCATAAAATATCATATCTTTTAAATATTTAATATTTACTGACACGGCGTAATCATTTAGCCCGATTTAGGTACCCCCAAAGTACCAACACGATTCAATTTATTATGTATTCATAAATGTTATTGAAAATATATATTTTATGGTACGTTATTATTATACTGTTGTTATTAACTTACAGTAGAAATCACAGTCAGTTTGGCAGTAATGACGTAGATAAAGATCGACCTGTATAATAACAAAACACAAAACACTTTCCCGGTCATCGCCGCGACCGCGGTACGAGAATATTATTGAATAAGCTGCCGAGTATGAGACCTTGTTCATGACGTCGACCTGATATCGTTAACACGGTTACGGTCGCGGCGGGGTGGTCGTTGAACATATGTTTAGATAACAAAGACCAGAGATAACAGCGATGTTATTGTTGTAGTAAATGATTTTCCCAGAGCTGTGTATACTGTATACGCGTTGCGTTTGCCGTTTAGTTATTATTACGGTTATTAGTTCATATATTGTAATAAACTACCAAAGTACTCAGCGATATCAAATTATCAACCTGACTTCGTCAATTTAATGAATAATTATTAATAATCTTTTATACTAATATTCATAATAATTCGTAAATTTTCGGCAGTCATCGTCGAATTGAAATTTTCCCGCCTCCGAAAACAATTCGCGTGCTGAAAATTGGTAGACCCGTTGTCGGCCAGCTAGCTGTTTGCCGTGAGGTTATGCGACAATCGACGACAGACGTGGAATCCGTCTTCAACTTTTAAGTAACCGAACTTGACCGCCGCCATGTCCAAGACGTCCGGTTCGGCTGCGTCCGGCTCGTCATCGTCGTCATCTCAACAGCAAGCGTCTGGAGTCGCCGCTGTACCGGCCGAAGACAATTTCGATTTTCTATTTAAAATCGTGCTTATCGGCGACTGCGGCACCGGCAAGACATGTGTCGTTCAACGGTTCAAGAGTGGAACGTACGCCGAGAATCAGGGCAACACCATCGGTGTCGATTTTTCCATGAAAACCATTAAAATCGACGGCAAGAAAGTCAAGGTAATTTATTCGTCTTTCTTATAATGCCGTGCATAGGTCACATAGAAGCATTAAGTGATGTAATAAAAACAATACCTTGTGCTGTACTTACTGAAATCTTATGTTATAGCTTCAAATATGGGACACGGCCGGCCACGAAAGGTTTCGTACAATCACACAAAGTTACTATCGCTCAGCTAATGGAGTCTTACTAGGTAAATGTTGTTGATATCATATTACAGTACAATTTACTGCATTGTCATTACAATATTATCATATTTTACAGTATACGACATTACAAAACGTGCTACTTTCTTGAATTTACAAAGATGGGTTGAAGAAGTACGTCGATATACTTCATCTAATGTATTACTCGTGTTGATTGGTAAGTATTTACACAAAAATTTGGCTCTTATAAAGCTCATCATAATCTTAAATCATTTCATCTAAAATAATTTACCATACAATCTTCATTGCTACTTAAAACAGTATAGTAGTTATTTCAAAATTAGTGAATACAAAAATATAATTAATGAAAACAAATGAAATAATAATGATATAAAATTGAACCTTAAAACTTTGAATACTATACAGTAGAGCAGCAATTCTCAGCCTAGGGTACGTGAAAAAAAATTGGCTAATGCAGAAAATGTTGAATCTGTTTATAAAAATTCATTTCAAAAATATTCATGATATGTTATTATTTATTAAAAATGAAAATTTATGTCACAAATTAAAACTTAACTGTCAACTTATCTAATAGATATGGAGTATAAAATGTAACAAAAAATTTTTTATTTTTTATTTAAATATTTTATAATTAGTTATGTGAAAAAGTTTAAAAATTATAATGAGGAGTACAATCTAGCAAAATATTAAACTTAGGGGTACGGAACAAAAAAAATGTTGAGAACCGCTGCAGTAGAGCATCGATTATCCATACCGATTGAGACTTAAGGGTATACAAATAATCAACTTGTACAGATGATAAAATTGAAACCATGAATAAAAATATACAATGGACATACATTTAAATGTATTATATAATTAAAAATAAAACTAATGTGATGTATGTATTATATGCAAGTATAACATGATAAAATAAGTATGTATGTATTGTTAAAAGTATGTGATGTAATGAAATTAAGTTTAAAATTATACAACATAAAATAAATATATATTATTTTTAATAGCTTGTAGTTCGGATAAACAACGCTCTACTGTATTGTATATTTATATTTTATACTTAGAACTTAAGCTTGCAATGCTAATCATATTTGTATACCTTAATCACGTCATTACATCTCAAAAATAAGTTGTTAACATTACTATGGTAAGTTATTAATCTATAAAAACAATGAACAATCACAACTAACTTAGGCAAAATATAACAGATTATTTATGATAGATTAGTCTTTGTGATCAATTGTCATATGGTAAAATGTTTGAAATTGATTGTTTTGTGGTTTATTATTTATGATCAATCAACCTATTTCCTTTGTAGATTTTCATAATAATATTCTATTCTATTTAATAAACTTCATATTTAATTTTCAATTTATGTAGGTAATAAATGTGACCTGGAGGAGAACCGCCAAGTAGAGTTGTCTGAAGCAGACGCCATGTGTGAATACTTTCCAGAACTATTGTCTGTCCTGGAAACGTCAGCTAAAGAAAATAAAAATATTGAAGAAGCATTTGTCACAATTGCTTCTGAACTTAAAGTAAGTGTTAAGATTTTATTGTTTGTCAACAGCCCATTCAATAAAAAATTTTATAGAGACGTCATGACCAAAGTGCTCATATTGAAGATGAACCTAATCCTGTCATCAACTTGAGTGAAGGCGAGAATGTTCAAAAATGTAAAGGCTGTACATTGTTATAAGCTAACACTCTTAACATTGAAACATGGTACAGTAGAACAAATCAATATTTGATCATTATTCTAAAACCCGATGATGAACATGTATAATTAATTATGCGTTCATAATCCTATGGTAACACACTTGTTTAATGTAAAACATTTAAAGTTTTATTTAGATTGTATTTAAAAAAAAAAAATATGAGGATAGAGACACTATCCCAGAATTTTTACACACGTTTATGATCCGCGTTAATATTGTATTTAATTTTATCTTTCGTAACTTGCAATAACTATTTATGTACTTGAACTTCACTTTGTTAATCATTCAATCATCATGTACTAAAAAAAAAATAATATTAAATAAGATTCTCGAATAGTTTTATGGGGGCTCGTGTTTTTTTTTTTTCAAGTATCTCCCCACATGGTCCACAGGTTTATCTTACTGAAAATAATTTTATCAGTATAGAATATTATATTATAGAGTATTAATGATGTTTTTTGTTAGTCGCTATCATATTTTACGATATTGAGTACATGATATTATTCATACAATATTTATGTATTCTTATCGATATTCTGTAAATAGATATATGTCCATATCGAGAATTTTAGAAATATTTTATTTTTCTTCTGTCTAATAATATCATTTCACAAATGATTTGAATTAATTTTATTAATTATATACATATTTTTTCTTTATAAATTTAGTAATATATATATATACATATATATATCTGTATGATAATTGATTATATGTATTTATATGTGTATAAATACATATAAGAGTATACATACATTTGTGTAACATTATTACCATCTTTTGTAAAAGCACCTCTAATAATATGGTGAAGGTATTTAAATATTATATAATTTTTTTATTATTATTATGTGTAGTGAGAGTAGGGAAATATTAATAATTCTATTATAATATACTTAATACTAATAACTAGTCACATAAAAAATGTATGAAATATTGTATTGTAGCAGTTCCTTTCATTGGTTAACAGTTGTTTATAATGATAATAATTTCCCCCCTACAAAAATTTGTGATTTGTAATATTTTATGTAAGATGTGTGGTGGAAAATTATATGTACTATATGTATCTAAAAGAAATTATTATTGTTTAATTTTTTCAACTTTATAGATGTTTTATTATCAGTATCTAGCTATTTTTAATTCTGAAATATTTATGTTTTTTTTTTTGTAAGAATTATTTTAAATTTTTATTTTTTTTTTTATTTTTATTTTTTTTTTTTTACTTATATTTATATCAATCGTATACCTGTAATAATTATGTATACTGTTGTGTTTTATTTGCACGGAATGATGGCGACCAGTAATCATAATTTGAAGATCAAACAACAAAGAATTCAAATGAGGGCTCGAGGTGGGAAATTATGTAATATTATAATAATTGTCTTTTTTACATTGATATTTCAATATTTAATATATTGTACAACTAACAAAACAGAATTTTTTTTCAATATTAATTACTAGAATATCAGATCAATGTCTAATTGATTAAACTAACTATTTAACATTTAGACAAATTTGGTGATTTATGTTAATTCATTATTTTAAATAATGTTCACTCATGAAAAAAAAAATGTTGTTTTCTTTCCCTACCTCACCTCCTAATTATGGAGGTCAATACGATATAGTCGTTATCTGTATAATGACCAATCAACATTTTATTATCATAAGTATATTATGTACTACTAATGAAAATTAACATCCATACCAAACAAAATAATATCTTTTACTGTATTATTGGTTTTATTATTATTAAATATTTTTTAATTCATTACAATAGTTGCACAGCTATGGCGCTCTTACATAATATAATAACTACAAATGTTATTTATGGTTTTAAATCTTGTTTATACATTTTTTGGAACATTTAAAAACTAGTTAAACATAAACTAATTTAACATGTTAATAAAGTATTATATTATATAAATAGAAATTAATTTACTTAATGATATATTATAGACTATTGTAATGTGATATATTCATATCTTGTAATAATAACTTAAGTTATTATTGATAGACACAGTTTTTAGGAAACATAGATTGTAAACATAATAATAAAATGATGAATGATGATAATGATATTATATTAATTATACTATAATATATTGTATAACAATTAAAATAATACTATATTTTGATATTTTGTAAACCAAATTTGTTAACATTGGCAATATACAATGTCGTTTGTGATCATTCAAAACAAATCATGATTATTAGCCTGTTTCTCTAACAACTATGTCCGGATGAGAAAACAATGATCAATTGAAGATGTAAATAATATGATACTTTATTAGCCATAATTAATACACGAACTTGAAGTTAAAATATATTTTCTGTAAATAATCTCAGTGACCTATATATGATGCATCAGTTTGTCGTTAAACTATGTATCTGCCCTACACCTACATCAATATGTATTATATTATAATATAATATAATATATAAATATAACAGTAGAACACAATATGGAATACATTTAAATCAAATTGTGTAGTGTCTTAGTTTTTTTTTTTTTTTTTTTAACAAATTGAATACAATTACAATTTTATTAATTAGGTATACATAATTTCTTAACTTCAAATTTCAAAGCAGAATACTTTTCTTAAAATTTTTGTGTACTTTTCATAAAATAATATTTGTATCTATTATTATTCTAAAGGTAGGTGTATACCTTATAAGGAGATGAGCCTGGTAGGTTTAATACATTTAGTTATGAGATGTACAGCATTGATTTTACTTGGCTCAATTACCCTTAAAAGTGTAAAGTTTTATATTATAAATTTATAGTTTAAAAATATAAGGTAATTTGACCTATATTATACTAAACAATAAATTGTACTTTTACAAACTGGTTATGTAATATGTATTTTAAAATATTGATAATACTAAAATCAGTAAAATCGACCTATGTTTAATGTTTAACCGTTTGTACATTGGTAGGTAACGCATGTCGTCCCGTGTCCGTCAAGAAAGTCGCTCTGTACACCCATGGGTCATAATGGATAATTTAGCCATATAGGTGAGTATGTATTATTCTATAGACCAGGGATAGGCATCATAAAATTACTAGAGGGCCACTTTTTAGAAAATTAAAATCTAGCGGGTCAGAACATAGAAAGCAAAAAAAAAAAAAAGGGTCATTTAAGATTTGCATTTTAATTAGCATTTATTTTGTTTATTATATGAATTTTTAACTATTAAGTGTATGATATAATTTTGAAATGTAACGGATAAGATAAAAAAAGCTCGAGAGCCGCCAGTTATCCATCTCTTCTATAGACTACCAACACGAGAAGAAGATTACACAGTATACATTCATGAATTCCGCGTATAATATTGAATTATTAAATCGCATTTAATAATATAGGCAATAGGTAACTATCTAATACGCATCATCTACGAAACGAGTGTTCCAAAGTTTGAAGACCTACGCAAGTTCGCGCACACTAGACCGGCGTGATTATATAATGCGATTTAAATAATTCAGTATAAGCAAGTACTTAACAACTTATCATAAATGATTATAATAATATAAACAATTTTCAAGACGCACAATTGCACAAACATTAATATAAACATATATTGTAATTTGTAGGTACAATAATGCGTGTTGTTTTCGAATTGATTCCTTGATCGGGCATAGTAAGTTGTTACCTACTCAAATTATTGCAATGTTGTTTAATGTTTACTCGTAGGTTCGTAGGTTGAAATACAAGAATGCATCAAGGCCTTAGGTAACTGAAAAAAAAATGTAGGGGTCCAATATTTTTTTTTATATAGATAATGAACACTCGTCATTTTTACGTTAAAAATATAATAATATAAATTATATTCACCACTAAAATGTTTCTACTTTTAAAAATTTCGGGGGGGGGGGAGGTATCCGAATTCCTGGACCCCTCAGTTACAGCCATGGGATGCGTTCTTATACTACCTATTAGTATAACTTAACTACTCGAGTCCAGATTTATATACAATTTCTAATACTAATAAAAGCTAACTAAATATGTAATGAAACCTTACAATGTAAAAATATATAACCCATGAACATATACCTACTTAATATATGATTGAACCATCCACCAACCATAGAATTGTGCATTTTAAACTTATAAAGGTAACAGTTAATAATATAATTTAAACAATGCTCTAATGTTAAATAAGTACTCGTCATTAAAAAAATTAACTTCGAATGAAAGTAATTCAGAGTCTTAACTTATAACTTATAGGTAAACAAAGTAATTAAATTGGAAGACACGATTATGTTCAACTGAAGTTCCAATGCATCTACAGGTCCCTCAAGTTAGGCACTTGCAACATTTATAACTATATTTTATGTGATTATAGAAAAATATTTGTTGTTCAAGGTTGTTATTAATATTCACACACCGATGTATAAATAAATAAAATAATATTAATAATTCAAAGTAAATAATTAATATAAAATTATGTATAGGTATTATTAACAAGTTTAAATTTGTCCTGTAATTTATAATAAAGTATTATTGAATATGTTTTATGTAAAAATGAATATACATTTATTTAATAAATCAATACATATTAAAATAATGAATATGTTTTCTAATTTGCCTGGGAGCCAGTTTTAACAGCTAATTATACTTCGGACTCAATCTCAATATACCGAATAGGCGTGTAGCGTCTATTTTAATTTGAATATTTTGCCGAATTCTCTTTGATAGAATTTAAAATATAGTCAAACATAGACAAGTTTATACGAAAATAATCATAAGACTTGGACGAGCAGTTTTTCAAAACTGCGCACATTTTGAATTTCTCCACCATCATTGGATTTCTGCCAAGTGTATGCACTCATTATCTCATTATTTTATAATGAAGCTTAATAAAAAAAAAGTCGTATGACAATCTATTATTTTCTTGTCGTTATTATTATTATTACGGCACAATTATATCATAATCATCTAATTTTATTACCTGACTTTTATTTCGAAACAAAACATATTCGAGGACAATGAATGCAGCTATAGGTACCCCATAAATTTCGGCCAGAGTATATTTCGGTCCGGTCATATGGATTTAGTGTGTGCGGGGTAAGCACATAAACCTAAATCTTGTAAAGTGGATTTTCGGTGGATGTCGAGGACATCCCGAGTGCGACTACAGCTGACGTCATCATATAATTCCCGAACACAATACGACCGTCAAAATGTCATATTAATTTACATTGAGTACCTACATATAGCAATCGTTTAGAGTAGGTAGTGATGCGATCGCGATGTGGTATTTAAGTTATCCGTTACATATTCGCCTTTATAAATACTAAATAGATCGTTATTATGTAGTTATAACCGTATAAGTATAGGTATAGGTAGATACTTACATAATAATATTATGTTATCGTGTTCTATCCCGGTTATAATAATAATTACTAAATTAGGTACTACGAGACGGCGCGCGGACACGAGACATCTATACGACGTGTGTTGGCATTATTACTGCCGTTTTGTATACATGTGGAGCATAAGTGCATAACCACCACGCACACAAACACGCATATATATATATATAACATATAAGTACCTTCAAACTGTGTTGTGTTTACATAGCGCAGCGCAGGTAGTTTACCAAAAATCTAAATCATCATAATATCGTACAACGACAATAATAATAATGGTTGTATGCATATTGTTATTATACCTGCCGTTAATTCACAAAATTACTGTAGTACTTACGTTACGGCTTTAACAATATTGTATTATGATTTATGACGTAGTATACATAATGGTATTATAATGGGTATTATGTAATCGTCGTGTATCGTGTACGCCAAGGCAAATTTAAATGTCTAATAATAATCGTACATTATCCAGACGGCTGTTGTAGAAACACCGTGTACGAGTAGGATATTATTTATGATATAACGTGAATTAAGTAGGCGAATAGCCCGGAATAGCGAGGTATGTATATACCTATAGGTACCTGCAAATCGTTACACTTGATACGTATTTTAATGTCCGCGTGCAGAGCGGCATCGCTGCGTTTGCCGACTGGCGATTTTATTTCTTTTCGAAACGCGATTTTTACGAACACGACTGCTGAGAAAAACTATTAGCTAAAACACGATGGTATAATACAGGGGCCCGCCGCCAACGACGTTGTAAATACCAAAACATAGTATTTTGCACGTCTCTGCCCGAAACGAACCGGAAAATATCCAATCGACCAAAAACTATAAATTTTTCGCGCTTCTCGAAAATCGGAGACGGCCTGAATGCTGGCAGTACCTAATACCTAAATAATTTGCAATATAAATAATATAATATAAACTGCCGCGATGTACGTACGTTCATGGCGAAACAAACTTCAAAGTACAATAATTATTATTATTATTATTATTATTCTGTTGCCGTGATCACGTCATGACTGACGGGCTCGGCGAAACACTCCGTACACGGTACAATATACATCTCATAATACACATATTAATATGATGCATAATGTCGGAACAACAACTACAGTAACAACAATACAATGATACGATGCGGACTGTGACCTTTGGTAGGACGTGTGCTGTGCCGGGGACACAATGCGTTATGCGATCGCGGTAAAAATGACCATTATAATATTATTACTATTATGATTTCACTACGACTGTATACAACAACAATAATAAAAATAATAACATCGTATTACACTGTAGGATGACGCGTTGTGTACAACATGTCGACACCTCCAACGAAAAGGGTCGTAACTCAATTTTATCAACTTTTCAGGATGACCATAATTAGTTTTCTAAATTATATTCGTATTCGGTTTTTCATTGTTTTTTTTTTTTATAATAACTATATTTCTAGCATGCAGGGAACCATTTATTATGGTTTTTCCAAATTTTTAAAAAAATCATTTTTTCTAACTTTTTTTTGAGATACGACCAATAGTAAAAAGTCGTATCTCAACATAAGACCTTTTTCGTGGGAAAATCGAAGGTCGTATCTCAACATAAGACCTTTTTGTGGGAAAATCGAATGTCGTATCTAATGTATTCGGTCATGTTAAATTAATTAATATAGGCAGAATATGGGGTTTGGGACCCTTTTTTATAACAGCATAATGTCGAAACCTATTAAGGATCTCAAAATTTAAAATAATAAGTATGTTAGGTCCCCAATCTATATACACTAGTTTCACAAATGATCCTTGAAGGATTAAAGAAAAATAAATCAATTTAAAGTAATGTTCATCAAGTTTAATAATGTAATAATAATATAACATAAATTACAAGAAGTATAACAAAATAAAATAAACTTATTTTATAATCAAACAAATACTCAAATTATAATAATATTCATTAGTTTTACAAAATTTAACAAAATGACTTAATAAAAATTAGTAATACAAAATAAAATCAAAAAATCCTTCTAGAATTTTAAAGAAAAAAATACTCAAATTATAATAAGGTTCAGCTAGCTTAACAGTTCAATAAAATTTAATGATACAAATTATATTGTGAAGTAAAACTAAATAAAATAAACACAATTTGCATTCAAAATAATACTTAAAATATTATAGGATCATAAAATAAGAAGGTATAACTACCTAGAAGTTAGAGATTTGTAAAATGCATGGTAAGTAGTTGGAATAAGACCCATTTCACATAACGATAACAAGTCATTATACTTTGCTTTATCAATTGCAATTTTTTCAGTATACGCTTGTACAGATAAACAACGAAGCTGATATCTACCCTTTTGTTTTTTTTTTGTTTTATATCAGCTATTATAATAAAATCTGGTGAGGTCAGGTTATATTTTATACTAAGAATAAATGGTTTATCAGAGGTGACTATTATTTCTTTGATGCAACTCCATCGAATTTGGCAACCATCAACAGTTTTAGTCCAATTGTATGACTTATCTTCAACGATTGGCTTGAAGTTCAAAAAATCTTCATTTGATACTTCGATTACTAGGTATGGTTTGCCAGTGACTTTCGCACACCTCACCAAGGTTATCCATTGGACAGGAACATAAATAGTTTTTCCTTTTTTGGAATTCTCAATACACGCATGCATAGAATCCCCTTCGTTCTGAGTATGTCCTCTTTCGAGGAATCGATGAGTGATTTTAACCTTTAATGTGAAAGCAGCATACTCCCACATAGAAAATAAAAATCTGTTCCGATTTTGTCCTCCAAAATTATCGGAATAGAAAATAAATTCAGTTATTTCATCTTTTTTCATCATCGTCATGAATTTAAACAAACAAGTGGCTATTTCATTAGCACCCCTTTTGGCCTCAGCCTCGTTCCACATAAAACAATATCCTAATTTTTTTGCAATGTCAAAAATGGTAAAGTTATATGTAGCAAATTTTCTTTTATAGTAAAAGTTGCTCACCTCTCCTTGTGGAGTGGTTAAAACCTTTTCCAAATCGAAAGCTGCGACACACAAATTAGGTTCACTAATTCCACGTTGTTTATCATCAATTTTCTTTTGCCTAGCAATATCTTTATTTGATAGATGTTCATTGTAATCAATTTGCTGTAATTCTTTCTCTTCAGGAGTTGAAATTTTATACTTTTCACATGTATCACATAGGTCTTTCTTGGGTTTGAAAAAACTGATATTAGTGAATGTATTAAAAATGTCTTGGTACTGTCGAAGAGTCACATTTTGTGTTTTTTCACTCACTTCTTTTTTTTTCACCCATTCTAAATACAAGCGGTGCATTTTGGAAATGTTTAGGTCTGAATCCAAATATTGTTTTTTATTGTTTTCTCTTGTATAATGTGAATCAACAACAGGAAATAATGAGATATGTTCCTGAACACATTCTTTTATTTCATTTGAAATTCTAAAAGGTCTGTTTGAGTGTCTTCCTCTTTTATCAGCCTCTATAGTTGGTGATAGTTCAAGTTTTGAACTTACCATGCTTACAATCTTTTCTGATATAGAAAGTGTTTGTAAAAACATGGTTTTACATACTTGAATTTCATCTTTTTCCAAAGGAAAATAATATTTCCTTGAGAATTTTCTTCGCGATATCAAAGATCCTACTTTTTTTCAGTAATTTTTACCCATCTAGCTATAAAATCCCACTGTCTGGTATGGTCTCCTAACTGCCAATATTCACTGAACAGATTCTTCCGGATTTCTTCGCTAAGTTTATCCATACATTTTAATCTACATTTTTTACATGGTGGTCCCATAACTTTTTTCTTCTTAAGGATCCTTGATCTGTATACATACTCTTCACCGTAGTTTAAATGTTTTTTTGCCTTTACATCTATCCATTCATTCTCATTCCTAGTTTTTTTTCTTGTTAGTTTCTCCTTTGGTGTGATTTTTCTTTTTTTTCTATTTGTACTACAGTCGATTCCGCTTTATTGGGACACATTGGTTGCGTTTTATTTTGTCCCAATAAAGCGGTTGTCCCAATAATCCGAAATGAAAAAAAAAACATATGAATTTATTGAAAAACTGATTTTTTATGTTTTTATTATTACAAATACATATTAGTTATTACAATAACACAATTATAGAAATTTTTTAATTATACAAAAAGAAAAACATAGTTTTATGTATAACCTAAATATTTATAAAAGTACACACATATATATATTTTTTATTATTTTATCTTATTTAAAAAAATTATGAATATTACTTTGTTTTTTACATTTTAATGTTTGTTGACGAATGTAGTCCGAACAAGTATCCAAAGCACTTATCGGGCTTTCTTCATTTCCTTGTTGAAGAAAAAATAATCTCAATGTTTCCAAAGATTTCTTTGCCTCCTGTAGTCGGTTTGGTGGATCTGGTTCCTCATCCGTGTCTTCATCTGAATTATGTTGATCTTGTATGGATTGAATAATATTACATCATCGGCGTATTCATTTTGGTCATAACATTTGAATCCAGTTGTTCAAATTCTACGTTATTTAGCACTCTTACGTTATCATTTTCTTCGGAATTAGGTTCCAACTGTTGATCATTGTTATAACTTTCCTCCAAAAAATCACACTTTCGAAAACAATTTTTTATTGTCTGACTACTTACATCACGCCAGCTGTCTGAAATAAATTGAATTGCTTGTAGGATATTAATTTTTTTACTGATATCTATTGCTGTTGATTTTGATTCAAGTAAATTGTCTTCAATCTTTTCTAAAATGTAATTGACCAGTGTTGCTCTATACTTAACCTTTAAATTTTGGATAACACCCATATCTAAAGGCTGAATTAGTGACGTTGTATTAGGTGGTAAGAACTCAAGCTTGATGTTTTTCAAAGATATATTAAGATGGGCAGTACAGTTGTCTAAGACGAGACTTATAGCCTTTTTTGTTTTGTTCAACTCACTATCCCAACGTTGCAACCAATCGGTAAAAATGGCCGAAGTCATCCATGCGTTTTTATTTGCATGATACTCAACCGGTAATTTTTGTAAAGAAATTTTTTGAAAACAACGAGGTTTTTTACTTTTTCCTATCACTAAAAGCTTTTTTTTGTCAGTCCCACTTGCGTTCACACAACACAGTATAGTTAATCTGTCCATAGCTTTTTTTGATCCAGCTATCGATTCGTGTTTAAAACACAGAGAATCATCTGGAGTTGCACGATAGTACAATCCTGTTTCATCTGCGTTATAAATATCATCGAGAGAAAATTTTGCAAGAATCTGTGGTAATTTTGTAAATTTCCATTCATCGGCATACTCTGAATTTGCACTAGCTTTTTCACCATGTGATATTTTAAATTTTATGTCGTGTCGTACTTTCCACCTAGATAACCAACCGTCGGTGGCTTTGAATTCGTCATTAACAAGTTTCCTTGCAAGGTCTTCGGATTTAGCTTTTAATATAGGACCCGACACTTGAACGACCCGACTAGTAGCCAGTGTAAACCATTGTGTAAGTGCCTCGTCTACATCTGCATCTTTACCCTCTCGTTTCCTTTTCCGCGTTGTCACTTGGCTAAGAGCTTGTTCTCGCAAAAACTGTTCTTGTAGTTGAATTCGCGCGATTGTTGATTTTGATACTCCTAAAATTTCCGAAAGACGACGAGTACTACAGCCTGGTGGCTGTAATTTAATTTTGTCTAGAATATCTAATTTTTGCGCAAGCGATAAATCTTTACGTATACGAGACATCGTTACTGCACGCGACAAACGCGACTAATACACTAAATAACATTTAACACACATCACATTTGATCATACGATAAGATCTGATTTTTCAAACATTCCGTTGATTTTTCTTCATTACGACTAATCTATATCTATCAAGATATATATCAATTCTATTTATTGACATTGAAACATAAATAAAACTATTACAAAGTTATATTTTATTGGAATATGAGTAGATTAAAATGCATGATTTTAATTTATAAATTAATAAGTTTGAAAGATGCAAACGTGCATGTGATAATTTCTGACAGATTGCTTCGTGTGTTTATTTTATCACATTATATTTAATAATATATATATTCTATTTGTGGTATGTAATATTGTAACACAGTTAGGCTAGTAACGACAACATTTAACATACAGTTACAATAAAATTTATTTATTTTAATTGGTACAAAACTGAATTATGTCTTTTCACTTTTCGTGATCATTGCGCTGTATCTGTCAGCTAGTTTTGGCAGGATGGTACATTGGGCTGTCCAGCTCATAATATTAATGAGTGATTGCTGGTTAGTATAATAACATAATAATCGGTAAATATGATTATGATAATATAAATTGTAACAATGTGATACGGTATATATAAAATAAGTGAATAGTTGTCCACGGAAAATAGATTCGATAACCAAACTGAAATGACCTATTTACAAGTATATTTAAGACAATCGTTATTGTTCATAATTTAATAAAGTGCGATAACTAAATAGATTTTATTGCCTTTAATCAGGCTCCTCTCTTCTGAGATGATGGCCCTATTATATGTATTTTTAAAAATCGATTGTCGTGGTAAAAACAGATTAATAGGTCAACGGCCCTCACAATCCACGTATCTTTACAGAATTATAACCGCCGTAAAGATTACGTATGGAAGCTACCCTATCTAAGATATGGGGTCATTGTACTAATTTCGAATAGCATATGTTTTGGTGTTGTCGGAACACCACGGCAAAAAGAGCCATTGACTCCTCCGTGCGACACCTTCATGGTATAGAAGTTGTCGGCACGTGCCGCCTCAGATCTCGTCTTGTGACTTCGTCAAAATATGTCAGTGTGCGCCCGTTTAGATTTTACCTTCACGCCAGGGTCAGTTTTCTTGTTTGAAATCAAAACGCGTTTACACTCGCGTTCCGACCGCGCTCGTATATGCTATATATATTGTTGTCACGTTCTCCACCTCGTTAAGCAAATATGTATATATGTACGCCATTGTTTGGCGATCTTAGTTTGGTATTGATCCGTATATATATCGTTGTTGCATTATCCCGCCTCCATAAGCAATATATATGTGTTGCCTTGCGATCTTCGTTAAAATTGAGCTGTGTCGTTCCGATCGTCACTAAGTGTATAACATTAGAACGCGACTTCCCTTTGTGTACTGATCGGTCGACGTGTGTGAATTGCAAGTGTTGTCTACTATCAAGCTTATTATGTTGTTTTGGTTGCCTGTTGTTATACGGTCGTGCTCAAGAAGAAACAGCTGACCAGTGGCCTGACTGTCGCCATCGGTGGTCACCTGCCAACGACAACATCGGCATAGGAACGAGTGCGGCAAATACTGTCATTATTTTCATATCTTATTTTATATACTACAAATTTTATTGTACCACGATTGTTTAGATCGTATTATTTATTTTAAAAATATTATTATTATTATTTCTTGTATTTATTATTATTACATTGTTGTGGACTGTAACGCTTTTTATTTTGGTTCTCGGATAAGGTCATTAAGTTAAATAATAGTAGTGAATACTTCACCCACTAAAATCTCCTTTATTGAAATTTGGCAGACAGTTGCCGATTGATGATTGTACGACTGACTCAAGAATCACACAATATATTTTAATTCCGTGATAATAATAATAATAATAATGTTATCGGGGATCAGACCTTCGCCTTTATCAAGACCAGAACAGAAACCGACACAAATACAAATAATATTATAAAATAATATGTGCGTCCTTTACCCATAACCGAAATATTTAATATTTAAACAATATGTTACACAAAAATTAAAATCTAATATAATTGTAGATATACATATAAAAATTAATTTCAGCAAAAATATAAACATGCATTTGTATGACTCATTACAAATTAACATATGAAGGGGCGAATATCTTACATATATATATATTTTTATACATGAAACTAAAATATATAATAAAATCAAACATTATATTAAGTTTAACCAATATTGTAATTAAACGGAAGTGGACTAATTTCATGCCGCCAGTTGTACTCGCCGTCGTAGTTTTCACCAACGCCGTACGAGTTACTCCGTCCTCTCCGTGGACCGACAATACCGTCTTGCAATTGATTTAAATATTCGTGGCTCCATCGTTTCCAAAATTTGAGAGTATTGTCGAATACGACGCCACCGGTCTAAATCAGTTCGCCGGCATTGTGCTGTCTCTTTCGGTACGACCTCAAATTCTCCAATTGAAATGGGCAGGAGTAAAGATATGTTGGGTCGGAAGGATCGGATGACATTTCAGTTAAGGACGGGGGTAGGCATGCTTCTACCCGGGTGAGTATAGTATTTAATTCTTCATTACGTTAGATGCGACTCATACAACACTTTACCGATCCAGATTTTCATCGACTTTACCGACACAATTTAAAGTGTGTGGTGAACGGAATATAGATCGCCATTCTACTCATCATTTGCTGTTTGTTTTATTTCACTATTGTATTCTGTGGTGAATAAGTATAGAACAACAATACCGATTCAGCATACCGAAGTTCGTAGCGTTATCTGAATAGATTACGCCTTTTACCTCTTCTATCAAAATCTATTTAAAGCATTTAAGAATGATTTTGTGCTGAGATCGATTACTAACTCTATGTGAATAACTGGTCGCAAAACACACGAAAATACACGTAACCTTTTGTCGGTGATGCTCCTTTTTAAAGGCTGTCTTTGGTAACAACGGTCCGCAATCAATACCGCTGACTTTAAAGGGTTTTGATAGTTCCTGTCGTTCACAGTAAATCTCACCCATTATGGTTCAAGCGAACACCGGTTTTGCTTGAAACACGTAACACATTTTATGAACCGTCCTTGAGCGATATTCCGACCTTTCAACGGCCCAATAGCCTACAATCGCACTAAGGCTAATAACCATGTGGGCCCCGTGCATACACCGTGTTCTTGCTTTGAAATAATAATTTCATTATGAAATACTGTCACCTGTGGTAAAATAATGAAGCTGTCGTTGAATACCTCTATCGTACCCCATTTTAATGTTCAACTCTCAATGCCTTGTCGTCTATAAGCAGTCGCAAAAAGGTATTTTACTTTCGTTATCGTCTTTGTCTTTTAAGTGTATTTCCGATTTAAAAAGTATTTTGTACATTTCAGTGGTATGTTACGCGTTCTAAGTCTTCTGGTTTCAGTGGCGTCCGGCTGATACTGTTTTACTAAAAATCTCTCTGAATCATAACCAATACCTTTCATACGTAATATTTTGTTAACGACGAATAACCGAATAATACAAATTAAGTATACAAACTCTTCGTATTGTTTTCAATTGGTGTATTTCTATGTTATCATTTTGTAGTTTTCCTGTCTGGCCAGTCCTCGGTGTTTTAACCATTCGTTCGTCCCTACAAATTCATACCTGATATTTGCTCACCGTCGCATCCGCTGATATTATATCGACGGTTCTCGATGACTTAATATACTGTTCAATCTGTTATGTTCGATATCTATCTCTGCCGATACGGTGTGCCACAATAATATCTTCCATTTGTCGATGGCATTACTATCCATGATAATTTTATTTTGAATCGGACCAAAATATTTTCGCGATATTTAATTTTAATTTGGAATTAATACGGCTCACTAAAACGCGCCAATAAAGAATTACGCACATGGTTCTAACCTCGATGATATATAACTTTAAGTGGGGTGACTTTTGATTTTGCACATATTAATTTGGCTGTGTGCTCTCGCGTTCATGGTACTACGTAAAAATATACGCTCGTAACATTTGATACTCGCGTCCGCAATCCGTGTGTTATATTTATTCAATTTTAATACCCCAATATTACGTGGTATAGTCAGCTTGTTAACGTGATAAACTTTTCTATATTTGACCCATTCTACGTATGTGATCTGGTAATGGATCATTCCCAACAATACAATTTGCCACCAAACTCACCAACGTATTAATTTTGCTTGTACTATAATTGGATAAACCAGTCCCATCCGGGTCAGATATATCGCGGGATACTAAAACCAGCACCTTTACTTATTGTATGGTATTTTCGTTATATTCTTTTACCTTGTATTGTAGTACGTCACCATTAGCATTCAATACCTGGCCAGTATCTTCATTGATTCTTCTTCAAAATACCCGTTCAAATTTTGCTTTATCTATTCTATTATACTCTGCCGTTCATTTGGTATTCCCACTTTCTTAAGTCATTCCGCCTTTTCATTAAAATTACTTCGTCACAACATTGCTTCTTCTATCGTTTCCGCGCCACTTAGAAATCGTCCATATAAAATCATTTCTAATCGCCTCACTAGCTTTTAAATATGACGTTTCTTGTTCAGATATTTTCCTTAAACATGCTCTGTTGCCAAAAATGATGCCGGTACTGTTCCATAAGTAAGTGTGGTTAAACGATAAATTTATTGGTGAGTCGCGCGCCAACAATACGTAACC